GACGCGGCTTCCAACTTCATTTCAGAGCTGTCTAGGGTATTCGCTCCTGTCAGTAGCGCGCTTCTTGCTCCTTCCCCGTCAGCTTGTATGGCAAATCCAGAATTCACTACTGTGACTTGTCTGATCGATGAGTTGGCCAGGCGAAGTTTACTAGCCAGGCTTATTTTTATGAAATGTGGAGACATGCGTCTCCACGGGTGATCGGGTTTGAGCCGTAAGAATACGCGCTCGTCAGATTTTTTGTGCATCACTGCTGATGCCTTGGGTTTCGATGTGGGCGTGTGGCCAGTGGTTGTTTTTGTGGCAGCTGTGGTTGCTGGCTTAGTCTTTTTACGCACCACCTCTGTCCAGGATCTCTCGGGAGTCTGGTTGGTGGTTTGTTCTGTCCCATGGGTAGGGATTGGTGTTGCAGAAGCAGCCGGTGGTGTGGCTGCTCCTAATCTCGTGTTTTCCCTGGCGAGGATCTGTACAGGACGAACGACGCTCGCAATAGTCTTCTCCCTCGACTTTTTAGCTGTCTCGAGGCGAGGTTTGATGATGTGGCCACTTGCAGCTTGAGCTGGTGCTGTAGCTTTGGGGGTGGCTGAATTGCCCCGCAGAATTTCTGTGATCCGGCTTTGAAGAGCCAAGCCGGTGAGTTCGATGGCTTGTCGGAACTCTTCGTCTGTTGTCGATTCGAGCAGGTTGCAGTACCCGCTGAAGATGCGCTCTGCTTCCGCAAAACGTTCCTGGAAAGCCCTCGCTTGTTCGGCGAGAAAGTTGTTCATGTTGGAGTCCGGGCGCAAGATTAGGAATACTGTACTTATATAGACGATACTCTGTATTAATAGAAAACCAAGTTTCATCTAGTCTTAAGCTCTACTATACATATTGGTAGATTGGAGCCACGAGACACCCGTAACCTACGCCATCTTAAAGCTAAGCTTATCTCACTTTTCACACATGGTAATCCATCAGGAACCTCAACGTGACAGTAGTCACGAGCTGTGGACAGGCACGACGTTAAATTCAATCAAATCAAAATCAAATAAATAAATAAAATAGGGTTCCCTAGTCAACATTTACAACGCTATACCGTGTCCCACGAATTTTTAAGGTTTACGAGGTGAATGTTTGTTTCTCTATGCTTGATGCGGACATGACCTAGCTAGGCGGAGGGCAAGACTGAACACCTGTACGCGGTGTCCTCTACGAACCTGGGAGTGAAATATTCTCCCAGAGCCAAGTTCAGTCAAATTTCGCAATATCAAAGAAGTTGGCCCACGAGGCAAAAATCCAAATTACTCATCCACTTCGTTATTTCGCTCCCAACGAGTTTGACCCCTATCTTCGTCTTATCGAGTCTACAAGTACGACCAAGTACATCCTCATTCCAATGACCACACCACTCTTCGACCTTCTCTGGCCTCAGCTGGTCACCAAATACACGCCCACGCCGATATTTATACCCGACGGAGGAAGCAAAGCGTGGCGCACAAATCTGGGAGACAGTTCTTTGGAATGGACGTGAGAGGGATTAGGACAAGTTGACAAGATGATACAGAGGAAGGATATAACTACGAAGGGCATGAGATTCCGAATTTTGGCAAGGAGTTTTTCGAATTGGGCTTTGTGCGCGCCAAGGCTTCGCTTGCGAGAGTGCAGCTGACACTATAAAAATAAGCAAACGATGGAAGGTGTTGTGGTCCGCCTCCTGGTGGTGTTCTCTGGTATAGTTTGAGTAGCCTGGACACCTACTCCGCTTGGGAAGGAGATATCTCAGACCATATTTCGCGCGGAGAAAAGTTGAAAGATAACGGAGGCATGCCTGGATAACTCAGGGTTTTTGAGATGTTCCCCTGGGTGGGTATTCACGGATGAGGGTTGACTTGGGGTGAAGAAAAAGCCGCCATAACTTCGCAGTGGTACTTGCAAATGAAATCTGAGGCATGAGTGCTCTACTTTTAAATTGAATCATCTATTCTATACTTTTCTTTGATATTATGTCATAGCTAGATAGGCTGCATACACTTAATGATTTAAAAGAAAAAAAAGACCTAGCTGAGCAAGGTCACCTGATAATTACATAAGTCGGGTTACGGCTATATGGCTACAGTCAGACCCCTGTTAAAACGATTTTTTTTCATAGAACGAACTTCGTTCTTACACATTTAACGATTACACGATTATCGTTCTTCAACCTATGAATATCGTCTTAACCAGGGTTTTTTTGCTAGATTGGTGCTAACAATGCCGCCAAAAAAGGGAATTTATGTGGAGCAATGGCGTGCTCTGCGACGATGGGCGCACCGCCAGGTCCCAAAACTAACATAAAAACAGTGCATTGAGTGGTTCTTAGCTGAGTACGGCCATCGATTAAGCCAGTCCACAGTCTCCGAGTCCTTGAGTAAGACCTTTGCGAAACTCGACGAAGCTACAAGTACTACTGTGCTACGACAGCGAGCTGGAAACTGGCCTGACCTTGAGAGTATTCGAGCGATTAAAGACGGCAAATGGGAGTATAAAAGAGGCATCAAAAGTACAAAGTAGCCTAGGTAGCTGGATTAAATAATGATATCCTTTTAAACGATATCCACTATATGACGATATTTTTCACGGCCCCGATTACATCGTCTTAACATGGATTTGACTGTACATTTCACCTTGTTAATGATTTGACTAATTAGCATCTAAATACTTATATAAATCATTCTACTGTCACGATTCGGCGCCTTGAGGCTCATGCAGGTTTTATCGGAAGATACGTATTTTAGGTGGGATGACTCAATTTGACCTTTAGAACACTCACACTCAGATTTCATTTGCAGATACCACTCGAGGTTAAGCCTTACGGCGTATAAACTCTTCCGTGCATACCAACCACAGGAAAAAGCGAGAAAACCCTGTGGTTATGCGAATGTGCTTTTATCATCCCACAAGTACAATATCATCGCGAGAGAGTGTGGTGTGTGGGCTTCACTGGATTCGGACCAGATTTCTCCTGGCTCAAATGGAGTAGGCTTTCAAGCTACCCAGAGTCTACTTGGCAGACCGGCCAAGACGATGTACCACCGCACCATCTAACCACGGCGCTGTTTATAGTGTTGCATACAATCTCGCAACCGAAGCCTTGGCACATGCACAAAGCTCAACTGGTAAATCTCCTTGCCGAAATTCGAAATCTCACGTTCGTCGAGATCACAGCCATCCTCTACATCATCCTGTAATTTTGTCCTTATTCTCTCATTTCCATCCTAAATAACTGCCTGCTTCATTTGAACGCCACGCTTTGCTTCCTTCGTCAGGTATAATTTCAGTGTGGGCTTTTATTTGATGGCCAGCTAAGGCCAGACAAAGTCGAAGAGATGTATGGTCATTGGAATGAGGATGTATTAGGTCGTACTTGTAAACTTGATAAGGTGTTTGTGGAAAAGTAACCTAGTTATTTGGGAAGTGCGATAGGAGTTGATAGAATCTTGCGAGATATCATCCGAGAGGGTTTAGGACTGGAGTTCATAGATCCATAAGAAAGCGGTAACAACCCAAACATCGTTCGAACAAAGATTTAGGTTTCATTCTTATTAAGTTCCTCACTTGATGCCAAGTCAGACAGAACATGTTCCTACACTTCTTCAAGGCTCGATCGCTGTTGAGGATCGGGATATGTGTTATAATGCTAGCCACTGTATTAAGAGAGGGTATAGTATATAAAACATCCGACGCCTAATAGCGGTTTTCAGGATACATGCCCGCTACTTGCTGACGCCCTATTATGGTCTAATTGACGTCCCAAACTCCAACAGTCGGAAGGGAAAGATTGATCTGGTCGAGTTTCCTGAATCACTACCTCGTGGGATAACTTCTTTTTTGTCGCGAAATCTGACTGAACTTGTCTCTGGCAGAATATTTCACACCCAGATTTGTAGAGGACACCGCGCATAGTTGTTCAGTCTTGCCCTCCGCACCACTTTGTAGATATCTGGGGCCGGATAGTTCCAGATCCACTAACACGGCTACAGCGTGTAACACAGCAGTCCTTCACCTAATGGTCGTCACGATATCGGCTGAAGGATAGAGGGATGCTACATGAAGGAACCAATAGGGAATACAAACTGAGGAGGCCTTGGTGGGCGACTAGATGAGGCCACCAGTGAAGAAAACGACCCCTGGATGAGATGAGCCAAAGCTGCGAATGAATGGAAGGGAAAAGTAACAGATCGCGAAGGTGTCAATGGCTCGGGCGCGTGGTGGCCGAGGCTGAGGAGGAATTTGCGCTTCGGCGCGTCAAATGAGGGTTCTCTGGACGGTTGGGCTTGACATGATTCAAAACATGGGTGAAGTCTGGGGTGGTTAGGTCATTTAGGTGGGACTAGATACTTGTACTTTACGGTAGTTAACCTGATCCGGCTCGGCCCCACCTGTGCCTAAGCTCTAGTAGGAGTGCAACGGGAATCACTTCAACTAGCACGTAAATGAACAAAACAAAAACCTAATAGTCGTCACTGATTATTACGTGTAAGAGATGAATAGTCCAATTTTTAAAATTAAAGTCATAATAAGGTATGCACTATGCTAAATGACAGTTTCATCGGACAATCTGACAGTTGCACTAATTTAATGACTCAGATACCTGCGTAAAAATAGCTATGATAATGCGGCAAATTTAGTTATCACTATCAAATCTAGAAATAGTTCGACTACACGAGCGATACAAGATTGGCTAGTTATGTAGCTGTGACTCAGCCCTGATTTCCGACTCCTATGCCCATTTTTTTTCTCACTTTTCACTGAAACAAAAGCTGTCAGTCACTCTCCAAGGCAGCTCGACAAGGATTGGTAAAGGATGCAGAGCGTATCAAAAATACCGAAATTAGCCACTTATCTCATTACCGCTTTATCAGACCTTCGTGGAAATTCAAATAATCAGGACTTAGTTCTATCATTGATTGCAGGCTCATGACATATCATTGTGCAAAATATTCAGACACTCCTCAGCATGAAAATGCCGCTTATTTATGTAGATGATATTCTGCATCTTTCAGCATTGCGGCGACTCTAACAGAAGACGGAACCCGATACTTACCAAGATGCGTTCCATAATCTCGAAATTACTGATCGCTTTTCTCTTACCTCTATACGCTATCGCTTACCGCAAAAATTCAAGTGATGTAGAGACTTATGATTGTGGTTCCACGGTTAAATTCCACACGTGCGACATCGATAGGGCCCTAACTCGTATCAAACGTCGTTACAAAAAAATAACAAAACAGAGCAACGAATTGCCTACCCTAAAGAGCAAGATCGAGAGGACTTTCCGAGATCGGATGGTTTACAAAGGAAATTATTTTAATACTAATGATATTTATCATACTAAGCTTCGAAGCCGGATCACCGCAAAAAGATGGAAAGGAATCCTTGCGAGTGAGTACTTGTTATGCACTGTATTTAGGCATGCACAAAACCTTTTCCAGTACTGACCTTTCAAGATCGTTTTGATGTCATCGCCTGGTGCTCGGTTGTCGACAATTGTAAAATCCTAGGTATCACGCGAAAGAATCATTTCATCAGAAAAGAATATCTATGTCGAAAAATAATGAACAGTTCAGACTCAGACAAACCTAGCGTTTCTCCTTCAGCAGCTGGCTCGTCACATAGCCTAAATTCGGATAAAGTTGATTATTCTCCCCCTAATAGCGAGAGCCCCCGCTCGCCGAGAGGAGATTCATGACACATACCCCAATAAAGACGTAAAGTCACCAATATTTCCAAGTCGTGACGAAGGACTGGAGGTCAAAACTACCGCAGGCTACTAGATTAGCTTTCCCTGGTATATTCGTATCAGAATTACGATTTAGGACATTGAAGACAATGCAACAAACCAAACAAGCAGTGAAATGGAATATATAAACCAGTTTAAATTCAATCCAGGTCTCAAGATTATATGAGTTAAAATACTCGTCGCTTATTCTATCTCCTTCAACTTGAAAAATTAGTTACACTATAAACTGCTCCGACGAGGCTATCGATCGTAGATTCAGCGTTATTGAATCATATGTAATAATCTGATGGAGGATAGGTATAAAAACTGGGGATTTATTGATTGATTTGATTTAGACTTATTTAACTTCATATAAAATATTTAATGCACAAAAGAACAAAAACGGTAAGCAAACTTGGAATAAGAAAACGCTTTAAAGCCACAATTTCGCCACCACGGTTCAGCTAAGCTCGATGCCAAAAGCGTTAGCTCATTCTATTCAATTCAGAATAGTCACAGGTTCTAGCTACCATCACTTCATAGATATTTCTCCAGCGAAATGTTGAAGAATATTTTGACAGTCCTCATTTTTTCTTGTTGGTTAGATGGCTGGAACTGCCAGCACCGTAGCTCTAAGCGTTTTGAGTCTGACCATTGAATTTGTATCCACATTTGGTAGTTGCCCTCGTCTGCTCGAAGTGTCTATGTTTATCACTTATAGCCATACTCAATCTTCAATTGTCAACAGCCGCCGATGTCTTTGTTGCTAAATTATTGAGGTTATCTCCACTTTCTGGAATTCTATCCTGCTTTTTTGTTCCTGGAAGTTGTGAGTAGAGGGAAACTCACGAAATCATGGAGGATAGAAGGATGTGAATTCGGCTATCTCAATTTAAACCCAGATGGGAGGCTGCGCGGAGGGCAAGACTGAACACCTGTATGTGGTGTCCTCCGCAAATCTTGGAGTAAAATATTCTTCCAGAGCCAAGTTCAGTCAAATTTCGCAATACCAATGAAGTTGGCCCACTTGGAAATGATTCAAAATACACCACCATTTCAAAATTTCACTCCCAACGAAATCGACTCCTAACTAAGCCTCATCAGGTCTACGAGTACGACCTAGTGTATCCTCATTCCAATGACCACACCACTCTTCGACTTTCTCTGGCCTCAGCTGGTCACCAAATACACGCCCACGCCGATATTTATACCCGACGGAGGAAGCAAAGCGTGGCGCACAAATCTGGGAGTTAATTCTTTGGTATGGGCGTGAGGGGGATCAGGACAAGTTGATAAGATGATGCAGAGGATGGATACAGTCTCGACGGGCGTGGAATTTTAAATTTTGGCAAGAGTTTTACGAATTGAACTTTAAGCGTGCCATGAGATCGGTTGCCAGAGTGCAGGTGACACTATAAACACCGCTACGGTCGGATGGTGCGGTGGTACATCGTCTTTGCCGGTCTGCCAAGTAGAGTCTGGATAGCTTGGACACATATCCCACTTGAGACAGTAGATCGCTGGTTCGAATCCGGCAAAACACAACCACATTTCTCGCGGCGCTGGTATACATGGATGACGAACATATGCTTGGATAACCAAAGGTTTTAAAACGTCCTTATGGTGGGTACTTACAGAGGAGGGTCGACTGTTTGTGTAAGCGAACATACCTCATAGTGGTATTTGCGAATGAAATCCAGAGCATGAGTGTCTCTAACGTCGAAAGAGTCATCCCACATGTATACATAGCGCCGGTCATGTGTTATAGCTAGATAGCTGAATACACATTTAATGATTTAAAAAAAAAGAGAGGCTGCGCGAGAACTCTAGTTAATGACAGCAAATAGTAGTAGTATCGGGTATGTACAATTTATCTACTTTGAACTTGTTGTCGACTTTGTATATGTATGTCTGTTATCACAGACATTGGAAATAATTCATGAGATTGCTTAATGAGAGGCTAGGATTGATCCCGATATTAATTGGTAGAATACTTGTTCCAACCATCAGAGGGCTTTAACGTCTTTATCTATCTACAAGTAAATTCCCCATCTTCCAACAATGCTAGCCATACAGGACGTAGCATATAAAACTTGATTCGTATCATCAGTTTGGGGTTGAGGTTTACCGTGCATATGCTACTCGAGTCGCATATCTGACTACTATGCGACACGCTCAGGTATCAATCTAACAACCCACACCAAAATCGAAACTACTCACAACCCTGATGATGACCCCATGAATAATTGTAACAGTAGCCTGCAATATAGCACAATTAGGCTAGAAATCTTTAACCAGGACCTAATCCGAACAACAATCTTCGCTCCCTATGAACCGGAAGGTCGACGCTACTCATGATCGACATAATGTATGTTGTTGTTGTTTTATTCAAGTCCTAAGCTAAAGCTCCAAATCCACTATGAGTACAGGACCGATGTTCACAGCCAGAACTACATCTAAGACATACCCAGCTTGATTCCACCGCATGAACCACCACAAAACCAGCAGTAAGTTAAAAATATGCGCCGACGCGAACTCCTTTTCCCAAAATTAACAAAAGAAAAAGATAAATTGCAAATAATTTAGAATGGAAAGCAATACTCCTCGCCTCGATTCCCATTTTGTCAGGTTTTGTTTCCTGACGAGTTATATTCGATCTCCACTGAGAGTAGGAGATGGATGCACAGGAGAATACCCAAAATAATTGGTATCCTGCGCAAATTGTTTGAAGCTCTCGAAGCACTTAGGTCAGAGTAGCTTGTGTAAGAAGGCATTGTATGCCAATGACCCTCTGATTCGACGCGTGATATTTGCGTTGAGTCGACAATGTGTGAAGTGGGTAGGGGTGGTCTCCTCCCCACAGGTGCACTCTGTAATAGCGTGTAGATTGTTGAAGCGACGATGGTACGCCGCGAAATTGCCGTGGCCCGTACGGGCTGCAATGAGATGTCGTAACTGTAGCCTGGAAAGCCCAAGTTCTGGTGGTTTATGACGGCGCATGAGCAGATCTAGCTCACGATACTGTGACGGGCAAGTTTCATTCCACCAGCTGTCGAGCAAAGTCTGTCGCTGTCGATGCAATTTTTGGTGTAAAAATGCTGTCGTGGTGGTTGCTGGCTCAGTTTCCACGCTGGGAAGCGTTCGTAGGGCGGATTTGGCCGCTGCGTCTGCTTCCTCATTTCCATGTATCCCCGAGTGTCCTGCTACCCACTTTATTCTTACCTGAGCTAGCCCAGATAACTCGCGAAACTTTCGTACTTCCTTGTGGCTGATCGAGGACCTGCCCGTGCTCAGTGCATTTATCGCATGTCGACTATCCATCGACACGTTAATGCACTGCGTCGTTCCCTTCGCCAGGTACTCCTCTCCTCTTAGGTGACCCAACGCTGCTTTAAGAGCTTCCTGTGCCCCCATAATCTCTGCATCTAAAGCTTCTCCACCGTGCTTTATGCCACTTCCTTTTTGAAAGGTTTTCCCATCCAACTTTAGGACAAACCCCCAAGCTGAGCGTCCCTTTCCCTCCGATGCTCCGTCCGAGTAAGCACAGATTTCTGACTTTGGCACATTATTGATCCAAAGTTTACAGGCTTCTACTTGGTCTTTTCTCGAACCAACCTTCGAACCCGGCCGCGATTGATAAAATGGTGGGGCAAGAGGTTCCGCGGCCTCTGCCTCTGGTAGCTGTCTATAAGCACGCTGAGCCCGTGACATTTGAATTTCAGGACGCGCAGATTTTCGATTGTGCTTTTTATATTTTCGCGTACCGACATTTGGGCAAACTGCAGCACGGATCCTAAGCGGATGGCGGTCGTCAAGTGTTTGCATTCTGGCAGAGAGGCGAAGTCGGTTTCCTTCGAGAATTATTTTCTCGGTTGGTATTCCTCCTTCCCTATGTAGTACAGCGTTGGGTGTTGTTCTCATTACCGGTAGTGCTGACCTAAGACCCATTAAGACAGCCTTATCAATCATACTACATAGGCCAGCAGTGGGCGGTGTCACCATCCCTCGTATTGTTGGGCGTCTAAGTCCAGGCCACCAGACGTCAGCTCCGTACTTTGCGATTGGGACAATACATGTGTCGATCGCTTTAACCAACGCCCCAGGAGCGGCTCCTCGGTAGGCTGTATTGAAGCGACGCATGTGCTGTGCAATTTTCAACGCTTTGCCACACCAGGTTGTGACGTGGTGTTTGAAGTTTAGTCGAGGATCGAGGTACACACCAAGCTAGCGGACATTTTGCGACGGCTCTATGAGAGTTCCGTTGACATAAATTCCAACCGATGTTTCGCGGTATCGTCCGGGGAATTGTACGACTTCGGACTTGTCCGTGTCAAAAGCGACGGCATTATTTCGAGCCCGGTCTAGTAGGTTATTGACCTCGTCCTGTGCTGCGGCTGCAGACTCTGCAATCGTCCGGCCAAATCCAAGGATACCAATATCGTCGGCGTAGCTAAACCTCAGACCCGGGGTTCCACTTCGCATGGGCTCTGCCATATATAGAAGGAAGAGAAGTGGCGAGATCGGTGAGCCCGGTGGAACTCCGCACACTAGCTCTCTCTTGGCAGTGACTCCCCCAGAGTATCGCACTTGAACCATCCGATTGGCGAGGAAGGAGCTAGTCCATTTGAGAATAGACTCCGGCCATCCCTGCTCCTGCATCCTCCTTACTAATCGATTATGGAGTACCGCGTCGAATGCTCCTTGAACGTCCAACGTTACAAAAGTAGCTGCCCATCTTTGTGAATTTGCCTCTTCGATGTCGTGGACCACACATGAGACCAGATCCGTTGCTGAGCGCTTCGGCAGTGCACCAAACTGTTGCTGGCCGACTACATCATGGATTACTGCAACGTGTGCCATCCGCTTAGCTAAGAGCCTTTCTAACCCTTTTCCCATGCATGAGAGAAGAGCGATTGGTCTCCAACCCTTGATTGTCGTTGGGTCTCTATCGTTCTTTTGAAGGAGGACCA